GGGTAATAGGGGTAGGTGTGTCAGAGACAGTGAGGTTGGCTCAGGGTAGGGCAGGGTTCAAAGCTGTCGTACAGAGGGCCACTATGAGTCGCAGCACATAACAACAACAACAAATGAGTGGGAATGATTGTATGAAACCCAACGTGAATGAAGGATAGTGTGAAACACAAAGCATATGAAATTTGTAAGCAAACCAATGTAAAATAAAAACTAAAGGGAAAAAAATCTCATCTATTGTAAGAGGAGAGGTAGAAATTGAACTTATACTTTTATATATTATAGAAAGTAGTTCATATACTGATCTTTATATCTTTTCTATTATTTTTAAAATGAACTTACATTGCTGTATATTCCTTCTCCTTTTCACCCTCATGAGATGCACTGCCAAGGCACTGTCTTAGTGAAAGTGAAACCAGGATGCTCCTTGGAAGCAAAAAGAGGAGAAACGTATTTCCACCAATGGTAAATGGCTCATTCATATCCACTCACTCATTGACATCGCGTTAGAACCGACTCATAGCTGAGCCTCCAGCCAGTTTTCAGGAGGCTGTATATCGTACAGGAGGAGATTGCCCATCTTTCTTCCATGGAGCAGCTGGTGGATTCGAACCGCCAGCTTTGGCTTAGCAGTGCAGTTCCATACAGACTACACCCCCAGAGCTTGTGGTGGTACGTGTATGTTCCTTTAAGTGAATTTTAAAATAAGCATAATTAGAAGTAAAAGAAACATCGTATGCATAACCCCGCTCCCTTCGCCCATACTTTCAGCTCTGCAAGGGGCTTTCCAAGTGCATGCATGCTATTTGCCTAGATTGTGCTGCTCTTTTGTTGTTCGTCAAGTAGGATTCATAGTGACCCTGTGAACAACAGATCGGGACCCATTCCTCTCCTGTGCCGCCCTCAACATCCCGGACACACTCGAGCACTTTGCCGCAGTCACTGTGTCAATCCTTCTGGTTGAAACACAAGAACCCATTGCTAGAGTCACAGTAGTAATCCAACTCACTGGGGGTCTTCCTCCCTTTCACTGACCCTCCACCCTCCTTTCCAAAGAATAACCTCCCCTAGCAACATACCGGAGTATGAGAGACGGAGCTTTGCGTAGATGGGACATGCTATTTCCCTGTTCTGTTCCACTTGCTTAACTCTATTTCACAGATGCATTCCACGCCGCACAGCCCTCATTTCTGATGTTAATTTCTGTCTAATAGCATCACAGTCACATGCTGCGATTTCCTCTAACCGTTCCCTCTGCCAGCCAGAGCACGCCTCCAAGCATCCTTGGACATAGAGCTTCTCTCTGCCTGTTTGATGGCTTCCCCGGAGGACTGACTCCCAGGAGGTGGAATTCTGCTTTAACCCAGGATTTCTCAGTCTCTGCCCTGCTGATATTTGCATGGGATATTCTTTGTGCTCGAGGCTGCCCTGCGTGTTGTAAGCTATTGAACTTCACCACTACTGTCTATTCACTCGACACCTCCCAGTCTCAGCAATCAGAAATGTCTGCAGAGATGGCCAGGTGTCCCCAGGATCCAAACCCCACCTGGCTGCTGATAACCTTTCCCTTAAAAGGTAGTAGTTGGTGTGGTTGTGTTTGCAAAGTATTTGTGCATGAAATATTTCACACATGGAAGCCAGAGATTTTCCAGACTCTGGACACAGTCCTGGTCAGGCAACATCGGAGGGTGAAGCACAGCGAGGAGAGTCAAGTGCAAGTTCCAAGTTCAAGATCCAGAACTGTCTGTAAACCTTCAGGTCTCAGGGCCTCAGTTTCTCGTCTGTGAAATGGGAGCAGTAACAGTGACCCACCGGCTGGCTTGTTGTGAACGCTGAGTAAAGGGACTGAAGAGGTCACTGGCTCCCAGCACGACTCACATTCACTGTCATTAAGTCAGAGCCCCCCATGGCTGTACCCCCACCCCGAGGTCCACTGCTATTGAGTCGATTCTGACTCATGGCAAACTCCCACTGGGTTTCTGAGGCTGGGAATCTTCATCATTCTCCCACAGGGCACCTGGTGGATTTGAACTGCCAACCTTCAGCTTAGCCACACAACGCGTAACACACGGCAATGTTGGTTTGCACGTGTGTTTGCAAGAATGCTGAGTGCGTGATCCATGCAATGAGATCATAGCATCGTAGTCTGGCTTCAACCACAGAATACGTGGGAGAGGGAGTGCTTCATTCACGGAGCATGTCCTAGCGACCGCCTGGCACCCGTTCCCTCCTCGTAAACGTGAAGCCTCTGGCTGTGCTCGTCTGAGAGACGCCCGTGGAGGACCCCGTGCTGGTTCGCCATTGACAGGCTGTGAGGCATAATGACCTCGGGTCCAACACAGTGACATTTTACTGGCTCCTGGTCCCTGTCATCGCTGCGATTGTGTTTGTCGTGACTGTTTTGGCATTGTGCCAATCCATCTCATTGTGATTTTTTTTTTTAAATGTCCCTCTGCTTTATGAAACACATCTTCAGGGGAGCTCTGGTGGCCTAGTGGCAAGGAGCTGCAACTACAATCCCAGAGGCGCACGGTTCGAATCCACCAGATGCTCTGCTGGGGAAGGAGGGGCAATCTCCTCCTGTACCAGTCAGATCTGATTTAACGGTACACTCACACAAAAAAAATAAAATTAAAAAAAAAAAAAAAAGAAACACATCTTCATAAGAAGTTCCACCAGGATGCTTCTTAGAGGAAAGGAGGGGGATACTTTGGACATGTTGTTAGGAAGGGCCAGACCTTGGGAAAAAGACATCATGCTGGGAAGAGTGGAGGGTCTACAAAAGAGAGGGAGACCCTCAACGGGAAAGATTGACAAGCGGAGTGTAACGAAGGCTTGAGCGTCTCAGAGATACTGAGGATGTATTCGGGAGGGGCGAGGTTCACATCTGCTGTTCATAGGGTCGCTGTAAGTCATAGTTGACTTGACAACACCTAATAATAACAGCACAGCATGTCCAAAACGAGTCAGAATCTCATGTCGTTGCTTCTACGTCCTTTTTTTAAATTATTTTTATTGTATTATTTTTCAGGTGTACCGTCAAATCAGATCTGACTGGTACAGGAGGAGATTACCCTCTCCTTCTCCAGCAGAGCATCTGGTGGATTTGAACCACGTACCTCTGGGATTGCAGTGCCGCATCTTGCCACTAGGCCACCAGAGCTCTCTAGCTTCTATGTGTTGTATGTCTTCTGTTGGTTCTGACTGATCTGTTCATTGCGCTGACAATCCGCTATCTATTCAATATTCACCCAGCTCCACACTTCAAAGGCATCAGTTCTTCTTTCTTAAGTCATTAGCCAACTTTCGCACATGTATGAGGGGGTCAAAAGGACAAAGGCTTGCCACCTGAGGGAGCTCTGGTGGCCTCAGAGGTAAGAAGTGCCAGGCCAGAGGCAAATGGTTCGGCTCCACCAGCTGGTCCTCGGGAGAGAGTTGGGCAGTCTCCTCCCGCACCATTTACAGCCTTTGAAAACCCACTGAAGGGTCAGCTGTGATGGTCTGACCGAACAGCAGTGAATTGAGTTATTCAGTGGTGTTTAAAGCATATTAAGTGAAATAAGTTGGTCCCTAAAGGATACTTATTTATATGTTGTTGTTGTTGTTCACTGACATTGAGTCAAGTATGACTTATGAACAAAAGTTCTAAACCGTGTCCTATCCTGCGCCGTCCTCACACCTCCTGACACACAAGAGCCCATTGCAGCAGTCACCGTGTCAGTCCAACTCGTCAAAGGTCGTCCTCTCCTTCACTGACCCTCCACCCTTCCCAACAGCATGTCCCTCTCCAAGAAATAGCCCCTCCTAGCAACATGCCCGAAGTATGTGAGACAAAGCCTCATCATTCTTGACTCCAGAGAGCACTCCAGCCATACCCTCTCCAAGAAATATCTTTTCATTCTCTTCGCTGTCCATGAGATGTTCAATGGTCTTCTCCAACACCACACCTCAAAGTTGTCAAGTCTTTTCTGTCATCCTTAATCACTGCCCAGCTCTCAGATGCATAGCAAGTGATCAGAAAGACTATGGTCTGAGTCAGATGAACCTTAGTCCTCAAACTGACACCATTACTCCTCAACAATTGAGAGAGGTCCCTAACTTCCCAAGTGCAAGGCATCTCCTATTTGTATGAGGCCATGCTTATTAAAAAACTAAGGCAAGGTTTACACAAAGAATCATTCCTGCGTGGTTAGCAGGAATGGGAGGGAGAGGGGAGTACCAGTTAATAGCTGTTGATTTTGCTTGGTCCTGTTGAGTTGGAACCAACTGATAGCTGACCCTCCAGTGGGTTTTCAGAGGCAGCAAATCGCACAAGAGGAGAGTGCCCATCCTTCTCCTGCGGAACAGCTGGTGGGTCTGAGTGGGCATACCTTAAATGACAGGGTGATGAGAACAAAGCCAGTCTCCAGAGCTAGCAGCACAGTTTCACTAACGAATGTGAAGGTTCTGAGAGGCCTGGGAGGTCCGAAAGGAAAGGAGAGTGACAGAGGGAAAGTGAGAGCCGGCAGAGAGGTGCCCCGGCAGGTCCTGAAATTTATTTTCTTGAGCAGAATGCAGGCGAATTGTTGGGTGAAAAAGTAAGTTAGCTATGGAAATCAGAATCCTCGGAAACAAAAGAGAAAGGGCGATTACACTGTGGCCATTGAAAGGAACGCGCTGGAACCACATGTGCGTGAATGGTTGAGTGCAAAATTCCCTTGCGTTGGAAACCTCTGCTCCAGTCGAAATAAAAATACAGCCTCGTAAAGAAAGCTTTCAAGCATTTCTTTCTTTGCAGCTGGTTCACCTGCTGCAGTATGTCTTTTGGTTTCTCGATGCTGCCCCCCTGGGCACGGACTGTTGGTTCAAGCGGAATGAAATTGTTGACCCTGCCAGTGGCCTGTGCCACCACAGAGAAGACGCTCGGTGAACACTGTTTCATCCCGTCTGTTTCTCCACCCAAGGGCTCACAAGTAGTGGGATTCTTACCACAAACCAATGAATGCTGTGGTTTCTGCCCCCAGGAGAAGTACGTGGAGGAGCTCACGGCGGTCAGACAGACCCTCCAAAGAGACCTGGAGACGTCCATCAGAAGGATTGCTGACCTGCAGGCGGCCTTGGAAGAGGTGGCATCCAGCGACAGTGACAATGAAAGGTACCTTTGAGGACCCCCCAGGGTCCGGGTATGGTGGGTGGCTGGGGGAATAACCGTCTTGGATAGGGACAGAAAGGGTATTTCATAGATGGTGTTCACATCTCTCATTGTCACAGCTGAAACTACAGGAGCTGGGCCTCAAAGCCTTTGGTGAATCAATATGATGGAATTGGTTGTGCAGTAGATTGGAGTTATGTAGATGTGAGTAAATTATATGATCTGGACTTAGTCTTCTCATCTGTAAAATGGTATCATAGTATTAGACTGATGGAGTTCTAGTAGCCTAGTGAATAAGGAGTCACGCTGCCAACCCAAAGACGCATAGTTTGAATCCACCCTCCATCCTGTTCCACAGGAGAAATATGAGCAATCTCATTCCTGTGTGATTTACAGCCTCGGAAGACCCGCTGGAGGGTTAGCTGTGAATCGCTTCCAACTTCACAACAATGACTTTGAATTATTTTTTTTTTTAAATCGATTTATTTACAAAGTTCGAATACATTGGTTTTTTATGCTGGATCTTTCCCATTTCCTTCACCACCACCTCCCACCCATCAAGTTGTGCGTGGGGACTTTGAATGTTTTTTAACATTACAGTGAACAATGTGACGTTTCTGCATTTCATCTTCAGTTTTGAACTGTGGTGGAAACATACACACCAAAGCACAACTTCCTTGCTTGTCACTCAGTGACATTTGATTCCATTTTCCAAGCTGTGTAGCCATAACTCATCCCGAATATCCCATCACCACTGACGTCAGCTCCGAGCCCCCCACATCAAGGCGTCCCCTTTCCGTCTCCCTCCCACCCCTGGTATCTAACAAGCTTTGAGTCCTGAGTGTTTGCTTATTTAATATGCATTGTCCTTCTGACCCTGACTTACTTCCCTCAGCATGAGGATCTCCAGGTCCAACCACGCGGTGGTATCAGGATTGTATTTATTTTCTTAATGGCTGAGGATTGTGTATGGACGATGTCTGTTCCTCTGTTCATCTCGTGAGCGTCCGTTCATCTGGTGATGGACACTTGACTTGTTTCCACCAACTGGCTACTTTGAAAACTACAACAATGACCTTCACGCGCAGGCTTCTAAAATCATGTTCATTTCTTCTGGGGACACACAACACTCCACACATATTGTTGGTATCACTGGATCATACAGCAATTCTCTGCTCAACTTTTTTTTCACCCCTAGCAAAAGCATATGAATAGGTTTAATGTAACATCTGCTCAACTTTGAGAGAACCAAGTTTCAACTGTTCTGAGACGCGGACTGGCAGTTCTTGGAGTGTCAAAAGAACAAAGGATCAAGGATATGAACATGTACGGCCAAGCACAATCAATAAGAGTGCATCTAAATTCCAAAATCAATCTCCATAATAGTCTATGTGTTTCCTACTGCCAAAGGGGCCCTTTAGAGTAGTGAAAGAAGATCTTCACCCTGAAACCCACAGCGTCCCTTTTCAGCAGGAAGTAGCTAAGAGAATACGCCATCCCCTTTTCCTTATGAATCAGGGTGAAGTCTCTCTCAGGGAGGAGTGATAGGGAATGGCAAAGGGCACACCGACAAAGGAGATTAATCAGAACTGACTTTGACAAGCACTGTGGCAATTGGACAATTAAAACAGACATTCGGATCGCAGGGAAGAAGAACAAACTGGGGAGGAGGGTGGAGAGAATGGTGAGGCAATGAAGGAGTGGAAGTCCAGAATCCCTGTGAATGTTCATTGAAACTAATAAAATTTAATAATAAAAAAAAAGAACAAAGGAGCAAGTCAGTCTTTGCAGGGCCAGGCCGGGCTGTCAGTGCTTCTTGGAGACAAGGAGGGTGGAACTTTGTCTCACACACTTTGGGTGTGTAGTCAGGAGGTGTCCTTGGAAAAAGGCATCATGCTGGGCACAGTAGGAGGTCAGTAAAGGAGAGGCCCCCAGGGAGATGGATGGACACAGTGAGTGCAGCAAGGGGGTCAGCGCAGAGCAGCTGGGGAAGAAAGTGCACGATTGGACAAGGCATTGATAGCATTGCTATGAGTCGTAATTGACTCGTGTCACCTAACAACAGCCTGCTTCTTAAAACTCTCCGTGAGGGTTGGATAAGTTAATACGTGAGCGCCACTTGCAATAGTACCAGGGACATATGAATGCCGAGTCAGTTACGTTTGTACTTGAGAGCGCTATTAGCGTAACATGTTAGATGTTGCGCTGCTAACCTAAAGTTCAATGGTTCGAGTCCACGTGCTGCTCTGTAGGAGATGGCTGGGCAGTCTCTTCCCATAAAGGATTAGAGCCTCGGAAACCCGATGGGCAGGCGTCACCAGCAGTGGGCATGTTCACGCAGGATAATACGTGTTATTTTATTAAAGCTGCAGTCCATTCAAGACACAAGGTTGGAGGCATGGTGAGAACCTGGAGCACCCACTTTCAAGAACAAGGCTTTTCCTGCACCCCACAGCCAGCACTGCCGCCCGGAGGCACACAGGCCACGCTTGGGCCACCCAGCTGGACAGAGATGAGAGTTCAGAGCGGATGCATGCAGCGTGCTGTCCAGACCCTGTAGCAAGGGCTTGTCTCAAACGGTCCAGCCAGCAATAGCATCTCACCCCATCCCAGCATCTGCAGGATTGCTTGGCAGCAGGGCCAGAGGGTGCCTTTCCAGAGCCCTGACACAGAGCAGGGTGCCTGAGCCTCACCTGTGGCTGCGGTTCCTTCCAAGGCCATGAGTCTGCTGATACGGCTGCCTCGGAGATCCGCTCTTGCCGGTCTCCCTGTCCAAGGGGCAGCTTCCTGCTGCAGCCAGAACAATCAGATGTCAGGCCATGCAGGTCTGGGGCTCAGTGAAGTCCAAGGTCAAGCAGCAAGCCGGAGCCAAGGAGTAACACTGAGCACTTCTGCTGCATGTCCTGCTTGCCTGTCACATCCTGGATAATGAAACGCTGAAAGGGGCTAACTTTTAACAAGTCAGGCGACTGGATGTAAAATGAGGAGGGAAGCAGAAAGGGTTACAGGTGGTCTGTGGATTATCCAGGGCAAAGAACCGGAGACTAGAGCTGCCCACATACACCTCGTAGAAAGAAATAGACCAATATTCTACTTCTAATTCTGTTGTTGTTGTTGTTGTTGTTAGGTGCTGTGGAGTCATAGACGACTCATAGCGACCCTATGAACAAACGGCCTGAGCATTGTTCATACATAGAGTTTCCGGAGACAAGCCATTTCGGAAGTAGATGCCGCTCCTGCTTCCAGGCTTGTTTCTGTCGGGAAGCTCCAGCCAACACTGTCCACCATGGGTGACCATGACCACGTCTAATTCTAAAGGGTGGTTCATATCCACCCACTGCTCCACAGAAGAAAGTGGACAATATCCTCTCATGCCGTTTACAGCCTCTGGAAACCCGATGGGAATTCTGCTGTGAACCAGTCCCAACTATAATAATCACAATATTAAGGGAAGACTCTAAAAAACTCTGGTGGCTTCGTTTTCAGTGTATCACATTGCTAACTAAAAGGTCAGCAGTTCGAATCCACGAGCCACTCCTCAGGAGAAGGATGAGCCGTCTCCTCTCGTTGAGATTTATTGCCTTTAAGAAACCCCGTGAAGTGGCAGTGTGCGATGGAACTGACTCAGTGGCGTCGAGTTTGAGTTTGAAGGGAAGGCATTAGTGATGAGTTAATTTCTCCCTCTCCCCATCAAACGTAATTATATTTTCTAAAATGTCCTTGATGAACATGCATGATACAGACAGTTAACACGAGCACCTAACACCCGGAAGGCTGGCAACTTAAGTCCACCCAGAAGCGCGTGGAAAGAAAGGCCTGGCAATCCCGCGTCAGTCGCTGAAAACCCTGTGGAGCCTCGTTCCACTGGCACGTGTGGGATCAGCATGTGTTAGTCAGAACTCAGCGGCTCCTGGTCTTGCATCCCCAGCTGTACTGCTCTTGTTGTTGTTGTTGTGTGCTGCTGCGTCAGAACCAGCTCCCAGCTGACCCTCCAGTGGGTTTTCAGAGGCAGTCAAATGATGCAGAAGACGAGTGCCCGTCTTTCTCCCATGGAGCAGATAGTAGATTCAAACCCCACGCCTTCGGGTTCACAGTGAAGCTCCTTACCTCTAGGCCACCAGAGCTCAGTGCAGGCTTGAGGAGATTCTACTCTCCTTTAAAGTCATGTATGTATACATCAGCTGGGGGTGGTGGTTGTTAGGTGCTGTCAAGGCAAGTACGACTCATAGCAACCCTATGAACAACAAGCCTGAACCTTGTTCCGTCCTGCACCATCCTCAGACTTCCTGACGCACTAGAGCCCATTGCAGCAGTCACCTTGTCAAGCCACCTGGTTGAGGGTCTTCCTCTCCTTCACTGACCCTCCCTCCTTCCCAAGCATCATGTCCATCTCCAAGGAATAACTCCTCCTAGCAACATGCCCAAGTATGTGAGGCTAAGCCTCCTAATTCCTGTCTCCAAAGAGCACTTGGGCTGCACCCTTGAAGAAGAATAATGGAGTTTCATTCATAGTGAAAAAGTCAGTTTCAAGTTCTATCCTAAAATAGTGTTGTGAGTGATAGGAAAATATCACATAATGTGATTATTATACACCAGGAGTTCTGGTCAAAACAGATGATGCTGGTTTGTTAACCAGTGTTAATGATTCAAGTCCATCCAGAGGTGCCTGAGAGAAAAGGCCTGGCTGTACACGTCCGAAAAAGTCAGCCATTGAAAACCGATGGGAGGACAGTTTGGCTTTGGTACACTTGAAGTCGCTATGAGTTGGGCCGACCCACCGGATACTGGTTGTGGTACTGACCCACCAATTAACTATGTGGACCAGCTCTTCACTTCACGCCAGTCTTGGACGAACCATAAGCTGCTCCGGGTCTCAAACCTCAAGCTCCCCAATAATCACAGTATGATTCTCATTCGCAATGAGGCATCCTAAAACCCCACTGTCCTACCTCTGAATAAAGGGCAGGATCTAACAAGTCTCCCGTTTGTGGCACGCTGGCTGC